TGTTTTCTTGAATCGATCGTACACGTGTCGTTCGGAAATTACTTCACTCTTCCACCTTCTCCAGTGTATCGAGCTAAATGGTATGTTTGGTTACTTCGCTATCCCACTTCTGACACCATGTAAAGTTATGGCAGAGATCAGAAAGATAACTTTTTATTCCAGCTAATGAGTACAAGCACACGTGTATATTCTGTCTCGTCCTACTGCGCATGCTCAGAACCTGATATGTTTACATATGTAATTCAATCTTGTGATTATAATGTAGGGTTTTTATCTAGTGGAAAGTCATAGTTTTTTCTTGATCTATACATGTAATAGGATGGAGATCTGTAACATTTCATTTTTAATTACCTGTAAATAGTTTAATGCTTAAAATGAACAGATCCCTTTTTTGTAATCAATCCATAAATTGGTCAATATATTTTCCTAAATTGTAAGTGTCTTTTTGGCTTTATGTAGGTATTGAACAATGCCCCAATACAGGGCTTTTGACGTTGGAAATTTTCTTAGCAGTTTCACTTGGACTCAAATAATTCAGCAGATCATTATGTAACTAGGAAATATTACAGGGGTCCCATTAAGGGCCTGGCAAGAGACAAATTGGCTGGCTGTGACAAGGATTTTACCTACCTGGTTTTACCATCTAGAAAAGAAAGGGTTTGCGTAGAAAGAAGTTCACTTCAAAAACTTTGGCCTGTGAAAACTAGTTGCCCTCCTGCTGAGAACCTGAATGAAACCCCTGTTTTATCACTGGTTTCTGCTGCATAGATGTGAGTGAAATCTTATTTGTTGTTCCAGGAAATGTCCACTTTACTGTTACTCCCTCAGACAGAAGGTTGATTGTTTAACACCCCCCCCCCCCCCCCCCCCCATCCCCACCCCTCCTGTGAGTTCATACATTTTTTTAAGCTCTGTTTTCTTTTATAGAAATTCCTTTTGAGTCCTTCATTCTCTCATGAATTCCAAGGGATGGATACATGGTCACGTACTAAGTAACTGATTTTTCATTTATTTGTTAATTTCTACCCAGGAAAAGAACAGTGGATGGATCAATCAACCCGCAGGACTCTTGTTAAAGTAATTGATGAGGGAATCATTGATCAAGATTCTACTGATTATGATAAGTAAGAAACTGTATAATAGTATTTTATGCTGCTTAAGTAAGTACAGTCAGGCAAGAGCTTACCACTGCTTATTTTTACAGTATTGCATGACAATTTAAACTTTGACAGCATAGTAGACAAGGATGGTTACATGTGAATCTCTTTACCTGAATCAATGGCTGGTAACTGTGTGAATCTACTGGCTGACATTTACCACTCTGATGTAAGATACATGTAACTGACACAGTATTTAACTGATCAAACATGTTGCAGGCTGAATCACTGGCTAGGTACAGTGCATTTACTGAAAGCAGGGCTGCCCAGACAATGAAAACCAACCAGATGGCAAATCTGAATCGTGAATATCCGTAGATTCCAACATTTTCAGATCCAACCAATCAACTGTCCAGTACAAAACAATGAAATCTCAACTTAGTCATTGTGATGCTTTCACAACGATGGTGTCTGCTAATAAATTGTCAAGCTTGACTCAGTATGTCACCTTGTAGATGTTATTGCACTGAATCTACATGTAGCAATCTCATGTGCCAGTCATAGTCATTTAATTGTGTATTTCATATAGGTTGACACTGGAACACTTTCAAGTTTTCTGGCCAGGTGAGTTACAAAATATGTCATTTCTTATTGCAATATAAAGTATAGCTTGAAGGACCTCTTTCCACACTTGTTGTTTCTTCACTCAATTATTGCTACTGATGACTCATAAAATTCCAGTTACAAGTTCCCCCCCCCCCCCCTCCCTTCAGTTTACAAGCAGTTCCAGCTCCTGCTTACAGACACATCTATGTGTGAAGAAAACAATTGTTTCAGTCATAAGCTTTCCTGGATATATACCCCTGTCTACTTTTCTTTGTTTCGTCAGTATCATCACTCTCAGAGAAAAAGCAGAGTGCAGCTAACAACTACTTTTTTATTTTTCAGCTAACAACTACCATCAGATGAAATAATGTTATGAGGAGGTTCAACTCAATGACCTCTGTGTTTTGCGTATTTGCTTTTTCACTAATGCATTCAGCTCAAAAGCACTGGATGGAAAACATCTTTTGGTACTGCTGGATGTTAGTCTCAAGTCATCTTAAGTCTCAAGTCATCATCCCCCTACCCCCCCCCCCCCTTACCCAAATTTGAAATAAGCCCAGGGCAGATAACTCCAGGCGAGACTTTAACTGTATTAGCATACATGGGAGAGGGGGATTAATGGGAGCTTGTTACCTGGGGGTAGCCCATAAATTAAGTAACCTAAGATGTATAATAAAATGTAAACTAAGGAACTTTATCTAATTAGGAACTGAATTTTGAATTTCATGTAACACATCTAATCACTAACTTTAATTTATTATAAATTTTCATTCTGTTAAGATGGAAAACCAATCTGGACAAATTACAGAAGGAACTTTAAGGGTCAGTTTCCACCCCAGGTAATTGCTCAATTTTAAATTAATCAGTTGATAATTAATATAATCAATTGTTATAATTACTCTAGGTTACCAGAAATTTACCTGCATCAGTTTATACTCTTGGGTGGAACATACATGGCACTGTGAAATTAAAGGGTCTTTAGTCTGAGATCTTTGGCATTGAATAATCTGATTAACATGTACACTGTAGTGCACTCAGATTTCTATTGACTCTTTTGCATGCTACAAGGTTAGAACTTTACATCTAGTCAGCGATCTCAACTTTTAATATTGTCAAGTGTCACATACTACACTACAGGTTACACTTTGGTCGACCCAGTGCAGACTTTCAAACATTGATGAATATTTTTTGGTTTCTTTTGTTTTGTTTTGTTTTTTTTTCTTACAGAAAACTCGTCGGACTTGTTATGTAAGTAAAACTCATTCATTAGAGTGTATAATAACTTGCTCTATGTGACAAAATGTTTCTTTTAATTTATTTATGTAATTTCTATGACGTCACGGGTCAGTATTCAAGGCATGTAGTATTAATACTGGTGTAAGTTATGGAATTTTATGAAAAACAGTAAGCCTATTGATCATTCAGTTGGTTGATTATTGGTAAACAATACCTTTAAGTTGTATGTCAAAAAATGCAGGTTGAATTGAATCAAGGCTGTTAATGTAACCTCTCATTATTTCACCTTCTCTTAAAGAAAGTGCTGCTGAGTATTTTGATTTGTATTTTATAGACATTATGTGATCAGGACACAAGCTGTCATAAAGTTTTTTTCCTGAGTACTCTTTACAATTGCAATAATTTTATTAAATCTGTTTTCTGGAGAAAGCTGTTCTTCATGTCATATAATCTCCTACCCAGATCTCACTCTGGTTGATGCTGAGAAGTGAGATCCCACCCTTCCTCTTGGCCATGGGAAGTCTGAGTTTGAGATAACATGTCATATTGATTATGTAAATTTTTGTAATTTACTTGCTCTGTTATGACCTCTGTTCTAGAAAGGAACCAACGTTTGCAGTAATCCCTGTCCGATATGTCGACTGATTGTAGAGAAAAATTATGAATTGGTTTACACAGTGAGTAATATTAGTATCAAAGATTAATTGTAGCCTTCCATTCAGCCAGCCCACTTTCTGTGTAAGACACAACATTGGCAGATCTAGGGTAGAGTTGCTTCCTTTTTGCAAAAAAGAAACCTGACTTTTTTTCTTCATTCAGTTCCCGTTAATAAATTTCAAGAAGGGAAGAACCTGTCTTTAATTTCAGACTGCCCCCTGTAAGACTTCTCTCTTTCCTTGTCGCTTTTAGGTTTATTATATTTGGCTACCTTCACTTAATAAACTATGATGTTGAACTTTGCTACTTCCTAGTTTTCTATTTTGTGCAATGCAGACAAAACAGTCACTCTTTATTTTGACATGACCATATCGTGACGGCTGCTTCAAAGCTCCTGTAATCATATAAGAGAAAACCTAGGAATTTAATGTGGTATATAATACTACACAAGGTTTTTGTTAAGTCTCGGTGACTTTTTATATCTCTTGACTTATGAGAGTAGGTGGTCACGTGACTCTCCTGAGAAGTCTAGAGTGAAGACATGAACTTTAAGAGAAGTGTGTTTGAGCCCTTCACACTTTAAAAAATTTCTCCTTCACTTCTTTTCAGGATGTTGGTTTGTTGTCTCAGTTTATCTGCCCCCATACTGGAATAATTCTTGAAACGATTAAAACAGGTAACACTTATTTTACTGAGAGGTCAAGTACATATAAGAGAGATAGCAACTCCTACCGCTTTGATGCATGTGAAGTTAGAATGTATGTTCTTTTTTGCTAAAACAATAAAGCTGTACCCTGCTAGGACGATCGTACTGGTGAGAAAAAAAGATCTTATTGGTAAAATAATGTTTGAGATTTTAATGTGACACATCAAACGCTTGAGAAAATGAATAACGTTTACACTAGCCGCGTTCTTATGCCATTCAGTACAGTGTTTGTTCTGCAACTTTAATCTTGGATAAGGCAATGTATGATTATCTATATTCTTGTTACTTATCGGCTTGACAAAGTGTCGGTATTGCTGGGAGAAGTCCAATGTTGATATCAGATAAGACAGTGAAAAATTTCGAACCACACCAGTTGCTGGTTTTTGTGTGGAGATAACTATTGAAAGTAAATATTTCACACTTCTTGGAAATACATGTAACAAAGATTCCTTCCCTTTGCCGTGCTAGTTTGATTTAGGGCCAATGCTTTTAACGTCATTGTTTTATTTTCCTGTGTTTTGCATTGCTTTGTATTTTTCAGAAACTCACAAATTTGTCAGGTTATTGGACAATCCTCACCACTGTAGTTTTCAGCCTTTTGTGCGCTTTTTATTTCAGGTGTATGTCAAAAGAAGCAAAAACTTCTTCTAAAAACAATTCAGGAAGCTCGTGATAAAGGTATAACGTTAGTTTCTGTAAGCTTTACAAGATCGTACGTGTTTCATTCACTGAATGTTTAATTACATTTGTTTTCTTTGATAGGTCTTTTGCCTTTCACGGTCCCAGGTCCCAGAGATCCTCCACGAGTTTTCCAGCCTGTAGGAGTACCTTCCATGTTCAAAAATAGAAAATGACATTTTAAAGAAAAGAATAAAATTTAACACAGTTGAGCACCGGTTTCGTTCTCTTTAGATTACAAAGTCGCAAAGCAACGTTCTATCCCCAATTCTGAAAAGCCGTTTTATTAAATAAATTACAACCAGATTCTTAATTGGTATTGCAGAACGTTTCACTCCTTTGCGAGGTTCACGCATTTGTAGCTTGCGAACGCAAACGTATTTTCGGCTGTCGCTTGTCTCGGCCGAAATACGTCTGCGCTCGCAGGCTAACGTATTCGTTACCCATTGAGAACAGCACCCACTTCCCGGTAGATTTCAAAACGGCGGTCGAGTGTCGGCAAACACTGGGCCTAATAGATTTAATGTGGAATGCGTAAATTTAGCCATAGGGTAACTAGTTAGGAAGCTACGCCATTCATACCCCGAGTCCCAGAAGGCATCTTTGCGTGATATGTGAGCGGCGAAACAACGACTGCAGTAAAAGCTCTAGTACCCAGGGCATGCGATTCGCAGCCCCTGCATTTCCTTTTAACTTCACGAACCATCAAAAGTGTTGTTACTCGAAGTTTACTGATCAATTGCATAAAGTATTTTTATCGCTATTTTAGCATTGTTATTTTAATGAGCTACCTGTCCAGGGAGTTGTCTTTTGTCATGATACTCAAGTCTTCTTCAATTGTTTGTTTTTCATTATTTAAATTTTTTGCTTCTCCAACAGCGGGTACGCTAGCCACCCATTCCACCTTCCCTTAGCCTGCGGGAGGGCTCACGTTGGAGCAAGAGCGCGCGGCATTGCCGCGAGAAGAGAGACTTTCTTGGCGCCTCTTCACCATACTCCTTCCCTCGGGATCGCTTTGCTCTTCGCCGCTCGCGCGCGCGCGCGCGCGACTCCAGGGTGTCTTGGCTAACCTTCCCTTAATTCCGCTCCTGACAGAATGAGTCACTCGTCTCGTGTGGGCCTCTCCTACATGTAGCGTGTACAGTTATTTGTAACTAGTCAATGATAATAAATGTAGAAACGTTATCATCGCAGTTATGAACGCAACTTTGAAAATTGCACAGTGAAAACCTGAAAAAAGAATTCAGGTGTGAACGGAATTCTCAGTAAGAAGCTTTAAATCAGGATTGATGAGGAGTGTACAGAACAGAAATGCTTGAAGTAGTACAACAGACCAACTTCAACGGCCATTTACATAACTTTAAGTTGAACGCAGGCATTTGTTTTTGCATTTGATACCACATCAAGGTAATTTTTCTGCTGATTCTGTACGGATCTAAAACTGACAAGTTAAGATGGACGGCTTCAAAGGAAACTTTCAAAAAAACTCTCGCAATTTGTGACGAGGAAAAAGAACTTCGACTTCAACGCGGTCTGCCATAGCCTTCTGGCGTAATCTTAATAATTTAAAAGTTTCTTAAACTTCGGTTTTGACCATTTTCGCGGCATTTTTCTGCGGTCTTCTCACGTTTCGTAAAATCATAAGTGTGAATAGACTCAACGTTACCCGGATTTTCAGCTGATTGCCAAGGCAAATCGCTACCCGCTTTATAAGGAAGAAATTAAAGCAAACCCGTCGAGGAAACGTAATAAGCAGTCCATGGCAATAAACTGCACTTTACTGTACTATTTGCTTTACCATATCCACTCGTTTACAGTGGGTAATCACCGTTAGAAACGTCCGCGCACACTAAGTGTGCCCTTCATTGAAGTCAAATAATTACTACAAAAATACTCGAGGGCTAACTACTAATAAGTACAAAACAGAGTGACCTAGACGTAAAAAAAGGGAGAAACAAAATAATTATACAATAAGAGTGGCTAGTGTTGCCTAGCAGTAGCCACAAAAATGATAAAATAAAAGTTTCTATAGCTAGTTGATATCATAAAAATTCTATTCTTCCAAAAAAAATCTGCACGTTTGGATCAATCTACCTGGCCACCAAATTATTGGTCAGAAATGCAATAAGGATTATATGCATGCAATAGTATCTTTCGGAATTTGAAAGAATGAAAGAAAAGTATTCGATACTGATGTATAAAAGCATCTCCTATCTTCACAATTCACCTTTTTGAGGAATGTAAAACTTGTCGGTATACATTTCATACAATCGTCCTAAAACATTGTCTCCTGTTTCATATTAATATCATTCAAGAATATATACAGTCACTACATTTTAAATCAAAACTAATTCTGGCCATCTAGACTGAGTAAAATAGTCAGCCTGAAAAGTCAGTCATCTTCCGCATCAGGCTATAAATAGTGTTCAAAGTGATCTACAAGAAATCTTATTTAGAACAGTTTTCCTGATAAACCCAGTCTTTAAGAATCTCTATGACATCATTTCTTTCCAAGCCTTCCTCGGCCAGGATATCCATAAGCTTCTTCACAGTTGCTTGACCAGATGAAGACCACTTTCTAAGAATATGATCAGTTGGATTAACTTGCTGTCCTAGAAAGACAACCTCGTCCCTTGAAAGTCCTACTTTTTCTCCTAGCATCCTGAAGTCACTATAAAAAACACTGCGTATGTTCAACTTCAAGCAAATTTTGGAGTATACTCGTAAAGGTAACTCTGTAGCTGCAGTTGATAGGCGAGTTTCCGGCGGACTTTTACTGGGAGACTGAAGACTGGGAGACTGAAGATTGGGAGACTGAAGACTGGGTAATCCAATGTCTACCTCAGCACTTCCTGCCTGGCAACTTTTTATGTTGACTTTTTGCTTTTGCTCTTGGGGAGTGCTCTTAGGAGAGAGGTACTGTTCACCACCAGAAGATGCCTCAATTCCAATACCTTGCAAACAAAATAAACAAATTAAAGTTATTGTAATTGAACTCAAAACTTTGTTAAAGAGGAACCTACCGTCATTTGTAAATGCATAAAGTTACACAGGGGTTTCAACAGTTTTATGTACTAGCGCATTTATTCCTGGAAGTAGCAGCTGAGGACGAAAAGCAATTTGGCCGCGCGAGGATCTTTGCGAGAGCCAAATCAATATAACTAATGTGCTGTTCATAGTTACATGAACCATAGACACCAAACCCCAGGAAATGATAGAGGAAAAAAAAAACAATACCTTAGATTGAGGTCCTAGCTGTCTTATGGTCTGTCAGACCGTACAGATCATGATGTCTGCACTGTAGTTTAAAGTACCTTGTGAATTGAAAAGGTAGCCATCAAGAATCTCCAAAGCATCGCCACGCTCAATCTTCTCCACTGCTGTTCTTAATTCATCTACAGTCATGTCGGGATGTTCAGATCTAAGCCATTCAAGCATTAGCTTGGTTGGGCTGCGCTTTGGATTGTTTGCAGCAGGATCAAATTCTTCATACACCTTGTTTGGCACACCAAGCTGGTTAGCAAGATTCCTCCAGTTTTTAACCGCTGGGGTTTTCTTGTTAAGCAGGATGCTAACACGGTTCAGAAGGTCAGAGTCAGGACTAAAGACATCGGCCAAGAGCTCAGCATCTGTAAGTTACAATTTATAATAATGTTACATTAAGTACTCTATAATTGATTTACAGTTAGCAATATCATCTTTGAACACCAACATTTCAATACCCTGGAGACACCAAATTGTGTCCTTTATCTTTGTTTGGAAATTTATCTACTTTAAGGCATACATTATTCAATTAATCAATCAATCAATCGATCGATCAATCAAACAAACAAACAATCGACAAATCCCTGACAGAGAGTAGACGAATTTAGAACAAAAATTATTACAAAAAAGACACTGTTACAATTGCAAATTATTTGAGATGTATATTTTCAATAATGATTCTCAGTATAATTCTATTTGTACATTAACAATCCAAGTGCTGTAATCTGTTTGGCTGAGCTATCATACACTCCCAGTTGTAAGTGTGTCATGGCTGGAGGTTGTGTTTAAAATGGCGACGTTTTCTCATTTTACTGAAGTTACAGACCAAGAAAATTTAGAAACATAAATGGGTAATTGATTTCCTGAGAAAACTAAAAAGAAACTACTCACCACTACTCAACTTTACAACCTGATTGACATTCATACACAGCTACAAGTACCACTTAACATGTATCCAATAAACAGTTCATAACAAATAAAACCCTCATGGGTTCCTTAACCAATGAGAGAAAAAAATGGGTGTTATGAAAATTAAACAAACTACATATTAATAGTTCATACACAAATACAAACCTTGCACTCCATCAAGGGCCATCAAAATATCTCTCCTGCACATGTTTTCCAAGTGTCCCTTCAGTTCACCAACAGTTAGCTGACTAAACTTCTTAATCTTACGCAAATATCGAAACAGAAGTGCAGTAGGGTTTTCAGACGAATGTAACTGTGCCTCAAATTCCTTGAACAGCTGACCAGTTGAAATCAGTTTTATAGCCAGGCTTCTCCAATTTCCAACTGGTTTTTTGGCCGAGTCAAGTTTAAGTGCAATACTGTCCAACAGAGATGGCTCATTGTCAAACACACCAACCACTGTGTCAGTGTCAGTTAAATCTACAAAAAAAAATTACATATAATCAAAGAGACATAAACCAGTCATGTGAGAGTTCAACTCTTTTCTTATGTAAACACTTCCTTTCGTTCCAATAAATTTGCATGTGTGCTGGCCATGTGAGTGAAAATGCTCTATGGATGGACTGTTACATCTAATCCAACCATTCGAACATAAACCGCAGACAATTGTTTCCACAGCTTTGTCGAGTTCTCCCAAACTAAACAACAAGAGAACGTTTTCTAAGTCTTCTAGAAAATGCTGTGAGAAAAAGAAAGGAACATCACTCGTTTATTTTTATTATCAAATCGTAAAGGAGCACTCGTGGCCTAAAGGGCTGCCAAGTGGAGCACCATACACCTGTAACTACAGGAACAGAACCACATGCACGTGCAGAAATAGAAAACTGTGTAACTCTTTTTCCACGGTCAACACGGCTAGTGGCATGGATTGTGGGCACAGACGCCTTACAACAATGACAACAACTCCGCAAAACATGGCAGCCATAGTCCAGCTAATAGGTCAAGACAACCAAGGCATCCAGCCTTGGTTAACAGTGTACATCTTTAATATTGGACATCCATGTTGTAAACAACACTCCTGTACATTTCGAATTCGTCTTTAATCCTAACGATTCACTTAAGACCAAAACAAAAAATACAGAATTAAATAAATACAAACTTGAACTTAAATAAAGCGAAAATACAACAACACGAAGAAACAGCAAAAAATAGAAAGGAAAAAATGATATTACTTAACAGATCTGTATGGCACTCCGGAACTGACAACGACTGAATACAACTTAAAAACTACAACACTATAAAACGGAATTTTGAACCGAAAGAATAGACTTAATGAGGCTATTTGATAAACAATAGACGATTCATTACATACATGTAACATGACGTGAAAAAATTAGTTTGCATTTAAAACTGCAAGAAAAAAGAATGCAAAAATGAACCTATAACAAACAAAGACAAAATAAGAAAGAAAAGGCGACCAAAATGGAAAAATTTAACTCTCGTGGCTATACATATTATGGTCAATTGACATGTGTCAAACAAGGCATCTGCTGACCAGTATCAGGCTCAGGTTTAGAGCTCATCGAGGTCATGTGAACTTTTTTTTGTTGACTACTGAAGAAGATACACCAATTTAACTTTCCTTACAGAGAGACCAGTCAATACATGTTTTGCAAATGAATGTATGAAAGATCATGTAATATATATTTGAATTGTTGAGAGAGATATGAAGACATCAATGATCATTCATCAATGGGAGGCAGTGTTGCCAAGTGGTCAACATGTCAGACTCACAATCCAGCGGTCCTGGGTTTGAGTCCCGTTCTGACCACCACCTGGATTTGTTTCTCAGTAGCCCCGAGTTCAAATCCTTGGCCATGCACGCTTGTAAATAGCCAACTGGTTTGCCTTGGGCTAGTTGGGATTCTTAACAATGTTACGTTCAATTTGAATTATTTGTTTCAGTTGTTTACTCAGCCCCACTAGCACTTGTGCTGTAACACTGCTGAGGGTAAGTAAAGGTTATATATATTTAGCAATATTATTCGCCGAAGGCGAGGTGAATATTGTCGAATAATCCCTGAGATGAAGTCAAGGGGATTATTCGGCAATATTCCCTGAGCTTGAGGCGAATAATTGTTTTAGTATAATTTCAGAGCTGAACAGCAGAGAATACGGACTACAACATAAAAACAGGGTCTAGATGCTGGTCTAGATGGGAAAATCTAGACTGCGGTCAATATTGATTTCAGCCAATCAAATTTGTGAATTCGGTAGTTCCCAGTCCTTGTGAGACACAGCCATATAATAAAACCTCTTATTAAATGGCTCTGTCTCACAAGGACTGGGAAATACCAAATTTACGAATTTGATTGGCTGAAATCGATATTGAAAGCGGTCTGAACTTTCCCATCTAGACTGGCATCTAGACCGGCAATGTTTTGCAGTGAAAAGGCTCCAAACTAAAATGCAAAATCATTGACTTTCATCTAACAATATTTATTTATGGAAGTGACAAAAAGCCTGATGAGAAAAAAAGTAAAGCGGACGAGCAAACTTAGGCAGAATTAAATTCAGCTCATCGCTGTTCGCAAGCAAAATATCAGCTAGTCCAAACCAGTTACATTAAACGAATTAAACTGTTCTTGTTTGCCATATAATAAACATCTTATTAACTGACCTTTAGTCGGTCTGTATGGAAGAATCTTGACCTCGGTTGTGTGTACAGACCTCACTGCGTTCACTCTGTACTCAGGACCTCGGTCAAGATTCTCCTATACAGACCTCCTGTTCGGTTAATAAGAGCTAATTATGAGGGATCGCTGAACCAATCAGATTGCCGGAAACTCTTTGTTCAGCTCTGAAGTTATACTAAATATTACGAACTCACAATGTGACCAGCTCCCAGTTGGCTTGATAGCTCAGTAGGTAGGCTGAGCACTGCACCAGTATCGCAGAGATCACGGGTTTGAATCCCATTCAAGCCTGAATTTTTTTCAGGCTTTAATTTCACAGCTGCTTAAGTTGTGTATATAACTGCAATGATCACTGATGTCTTAAAGTGCCACTATGATGAAATTCTCGATATCCATTTTTTTACATTTTCGTAAACAATAGGTCTTTCCCAGATGTCTTGCCAAATTTCAATCTGTTATGAACATTAGAGTTAACAGTTTTTTGACCTTCATTTCCAAAAATTTACAGCTGCCATTAATTTTCCTTGTTCCAAGTCTTGGTTGAGAATTTTAGAAAATGATGTCATTTTCTCAAAAATACCGCACGGGTTGAAATTATAATAACAATTAATGTAGAAAATTGCACAAATATAGAAGCCAAAGTTTTTGTCATTCTTTATGCAAATTGCTGTTAGTAGTAATTATAATTTACAGCAATGAAAATATTTGGAAAAGTACAAACCTTTCAACTCTTGGATTAAATCATTCCTGTGGATATCTTTCAATGCCACTCTCAGTTTTGCAATTGTAAGTTGTGGATCGTTTGTTGACAAAAACTGAAACAAATGCACTGTGGGACTCAACTCAAAATAAATTTCAAATTCCTTCTGGGTATCAGGTGGAATATTAAGTTTGCAGGCCAGGTGTTTCCAGTACTTTATTACTCTGTACTCTCTGTCCAGACACCGTGCTAGTTCATCCATAAGGGTAGCATTGTCAACAACATCACCAACATGGAGAACTGCTGAACAGATAAGAGGAAGAAACTGGCAACCACTCCATAACTAAGTAAGTTGTTGATCAATACAACATTTCTTAAACACATCCAACATGTTTAAACAAAGGAAATCATGGCAGACAGATGATGTTTGAGTATCTGATCTTAATTGGCATAGATTATTATGATTTCATTTCACTGTCTAGTTTTAATTTTGATTTGAGAAGATATATCGAACACTCGAAGCTGTGTTTGACCACCTTTTTAAACACCTCAAAGTTTGTGAAAAATACTCTGCTACGCATCATATTTTCAACTCTCTTCTTGGTGTTTGGAAACACCGTCAAACACAATCTTTCCTGTTGAATAAATTACTAACTGTACTTATAAATAATGGGAAATAATATTAAATTCTAAGCTTGAGTACAAAGAGATCACTTTTGTCTACTTTTGAACTGGCTGGAAATTCTTGGTTGTGCACTGCCTCCACTTAGAGTTCCACCATCAGCTGGACGTGGTCGATTTGTCACCTCCTCCCTTGAATCAGATGCTTGTTCTGTGTAACACAACAAACCACAGCTTTTAATCTCCTGATACAAACAATTGTTCAAATACGTTAAAACTTGACATGTATAATTATGTATATACATGTACTGTACCTGACAACTCACACATTATGGATGTCACATGCCTGTAGATTGAAATGTCGATGACACGCATACAGGACAATTTGGCATGCATGACTCACACTTCTAGACTACTTGAATGTTCAGTAGCCATCAACTTGAAAATTTATACCCAAAATTGTCCAGTGAATGGCACTAAATGTCTTGCTTCACACAGCTGCATTCAACTACTTCAGGAATCTCAGGCAATGCTTGGAAGTCCTTGGGACGTCTTCAGTAATATTATAAAATCATCAAAATGTTTCAGAAATTTGGGTAATATGGATACAAAAATCACACACATTTGACTTAAGAAAAGTTGGCAGGTATATCTGGTGGATGAAATGTCTTTAAATTAATGATTCCTCTGATCAGCATGCATAAGATCTGCAAACTGGGCAATTTGGAAATCAATTTCATCATAACTAGCGGTAGGTAAGCTTTATATATTTGGCATTTAAGGGATTTAATATGCCACAATGTGCAAGTCAGACAACTGTAAAACCAAGCTACAATGAGTGACAAAAGTGTTGAGACACTTTGCAGTAAAATGCAAGCACCTTCAAAACATTTCCCTGTTCCGGTGTTCCCACTCCCCCAACAATGCTTATTTTTCTATTTCTGTCTTTACCAAAATTGCTACTAATCTCACAATCCAATTAGCTAATTTGGAATTGTCAATAAGAGTCCGGGCAACGCTGCTCATGTCAATGTGTCACACTCTTGGTCACGCTCTGAAAAAAACATTTTCTTGGATGTTGATATTGTGGTAAAGAACAAATCGAATGTGGTTTAACATTGTCTGTACTCTTCTCAACAACGATAATTATGCGTCATCACATCGGTCAAAATTCACGAGATGCAGCCAAGTGAGTCCACAACATTTTAACCACTGTGATGATGCATACCACTGTCAATAAGAGCACAGACAACACTAAACCACATTCGATTTGTTAAAAAGACTGTACGAATCACAGCACCTACACAACATATAATCGGGAGGCCGGGGGTATCAGATAATTAATGTTAGATGAAATGAAATAGTTAAGAATACTTTTCCTTACCTTCGTCAACATGCTGCCCATTTCTGGACTGGTCTGAGACTCTAGAAATGTTCCCGCTTCTATTTTGGGTTCCATNCATGTGAATGCGAAGAATTACAGAATCAGAAAGAAAGATTAAAAATAGTATTGTTATTTCGTGTAACAGCCTTACGTATCACACCTGACTCGTCCTCTACTGAAATCTTAATCTCCTACCCAGATCTCACTCACTTTGACGCCTTCCGCTTGGCCGTGGGAGGCCTGGGTGCAAGATTATTGAAATCCTAACTAAACAGTAGGAACTGAAGGAGGTAGGGCAGCTTTGTCGTTCCTACAGTAGCGGTGTGCAGTTCTATCACGTATTGACGACATAAATATAATTTACAAATATTTGTTATGTGCCTACTACCGTTGGACGTGGCCTGCGAGTTGGCTCCCTTGTTTAGGGTTTTGTGGGAACGGCGAAGCCGCGAGCCAAGCCTGAGAAATGAACGCGAAACCCAAAGATGAGAGCCTACTCGAGGGCAGCATTGATCAGTCTACTCAAAGGGAATTTTCTGCTGACGTCCTTTTTCGGTCATACCTACCTTATTTTGCCACCATATCCCAAGGCTCTGAAGATGACTTCCGCTCAGGTTGTCGAAACGTCACTCACCAACAACAGTTCTTTTGAGAACCACCCTCAACCAGAAGATCAGATTTAAAGAACATTTGCTTTGTAACAAACGAAACTAAATCTCATTAAAACCGATAAATTAGCCCTACCAACCTCAAATTTGGATACAGCATCCTGTAAGCAGAAACACCGTTGCCATGGCACTATTATTGCTGTAACTTCCACTGCTTAATTCATTGCACGTCGTGCAAAAAAGTGGAATAAACGATTTTTTATTTTAACGAAAACCTGGCCAAGGTTTGTAAAGAGTATGGAAATCTGCAAACTGGTTTTCCAGACATGAAAAAAGTCTAGAAAATGAAAAATATATATACGAAAAATGGGAAAAGGGTTGGAGTATATTTTTTTCTGTTTCAAACTCCAGCCAGTGCATTAGATAATAGAAGTGCATCTTGCTTAAGTCTTGAAAGAAAAAACAAACATAATTTGTTGTAAAAGGTCGTTCTGAAGGTATTGAAAAAGTCAAGAATTTTGCTGGTCAAAACTACGTACGATCCCAGCGCGACGTCATTACCGAAATATATAAGTAAACAAAAATTACGTCACTGCTTTAAGTAGCGCTATCATGAAAATGACTTTTCATTAATGTAAAACTAACACACATTGTCTAGTTTTGCTAAAATTACTAGATAAAGTGGAATCCCGATTTTTCGAACCTCCAAGGGAAACGACAATTGGTTCGGAAAATCGGATAGTTCGAGAAATCGGGTGTAAAATTACAGTGTTCGACTGAGGACGGGAAACGACTTTTGGTTCGCGTTTACGGGAGGTTCGAAAAGATGAGGGTTCGAGAAATCCGAGTTCCGCTGTACGTGCTCTGTAACTATAAAAGTGGTGTTGTAATGAGTCACGCTCGTACGAGTAAGGTGACGTCAAATTGCAAGAAAAGATCTCGCAGACATTTTCAAAGTTTGTCTTTGTCTTGGCTGAAAACTATTTACAATTTCCCCCTCCCTCTCATCCCTTTGAAGGAATTCACTATAATGGGGCATATAAAAGGGTAGGGAATTAACGAATTGAGGTATATGAAAGGGTAGGGAAATCTGTCATTTAGTTATTTAAAAGAGCCTTTAATTAAAATATTTTGAACACGTTATGGCTCGATCATTTAATTTATTAAGTAGTACATGAAAATGACAAGCAATTTATTCATAATATGGCGATTTATACATAATATGGGCCAGTTATGAAAGTATGTGAAAGGGATGCCTTTTCTGTCAAAATAGTATACAAAAAGGTCAGGGGTTGGACCTCGGGGCGGAGCCACCCTTAATTAAACTTTGTGGAGAACCCTCCCCCGGTGGGTTTCGCACGGGTCATGGAAAACATGAAGTCATGGAATTCTAGAAGTTTATTTTCCAGGCCTAGAAAGTCATGAAATTGAAGTGTGAGTCATGGAAAGTCATAGAATAGCACACATTTCTGAGAATGAAAAGCAAAAAGATCAAAAGCTGAAAAATAACAGGCAAGTCAAAAAACCGGATTTAATTCCAGTAAAAAAAAAAATAAAAAAAAATAACACTAGCACACGTTTTATACCTCATGATGTGGGAAAATATCATAAATAATAGACTATTTTGACAACGCTTTGAGAGCAACAGTGCTTAACATAGTTCATTGGAAATTTGGAAAGGTCATGGAAAGCCGTCGTGGGATTTTAAAAGTTCAAAAGAGTACGAACATTTTCTCGGTGTTCTAAGAACGTCCCGTGTTCGAGCGAAGGTGCTAATCATGATTTTAGCACTCTTGAAAAAAATGAAGCAAAATCGCCGTGGAAGCGCCCCTTTAAGACTTTGGAGAATGAGTGGCATCTGCCGCTCCCCTCTTTCACCCCTGCCCAGACTGAATCTTTCATTAGCAGCCAAAGTAAACATATCTCTGTCTTATATAAAGCCAATAACTTTTATCACTCAAGGTTTGAGCGGTTGTAATCGGTATACTCTTTGTTGAAAAGACAGGAGCACTGAAGGCAAATTCCTGAAAAGAGCGGTCTGTTTTCTCAGTCAGCACTTATTGATCTTCATTCGCCTCTGTATTCTCCTCATTCTACACTAACGTTGTTCCGGGCATCTCTCTTCTCATTGGAATTTGAAGCAGAGAAGAAACAAGTTGGAATCGGATAAAAGGGTTGGACGGGGATCCCCGTGCGGCGCGTTTGGAAAAGAAAGCGGTCTGTTGTTTAGCCTAAAAAGCACGTCTTGTTTTAAGTGTTGAAAATGTATCATGGGCCTTGTATGATGAAAATAAGACCAAAGAAACAACTAAATACGGAATAGAGTCAGCGTGAAAGAAAAGGGATCTTCCCTCTTTATTTGCTCGAGCTGTACTTCGCGCCTCTGTCCAATTTCAAGGTTGGTAGACAAGCTGTGCGATAGCATCAAGGTCTGTCGTTTAAAAAAGGGTATCTCAATTATAATCAGTACTCCCGCCGTTTCAAAATAATCACCAGCTGTTTTGAATTAACGCCACTCTGCAGCAGGCCGGACCACACGGAGTTAAAACGATAAACAACGCACGACTAGACAGTAAACGGAACGCGACTTTTTCAATAAGATGTTATCTGCTGGAAGGAAAATCGTTAAGTAGACTCAAGATCTCTTCATTCAGTCTCAAGAGTGTTATTTTTACCTCTTCATCGTGGATTTTCAAAGTCAAATTGCCGCAAGAAACCGGACGCTACCCTGGTCGTATTCAACCCCTACCCCGTCTTAGCCTCCCTCGGGTTCGTAGCCTGTCTACAAGTCTGTCACTGGGGGAGGTGTTTCTCGTAACGCTTGAATGCGCCGCTAAAGAGTTGACAGTTTCCTCCGTTTGTTGAAACTATTAAACTTTGATTATGCGGCCCTTTTTGACCTTGCAAGCCGATCCTGATTTATTCACGATAGAAATAATTTAAAAGCGTCATTCTTCTGCTGCCTGTTTACTGGGTTCTTTCTTATCGGTAATTAATTTGATTTTATTTTACAACGAACATGAAATCCAACAAAAGAATGTAACTTTCATGATCTCATTTTTTTGATACAGTTTATCAGCCTATGTATTTTTTAACCAAACAACAATGAAGCATTCTTCGTGGTCATAAAGATATGATATTGAATATGATCAGGAATGATTATTCGTGTTTACGTACTTGGGTGTTTCGATGTTGCATATCAAAAATACCCGTACAAAACAAAAAAAAAAAAACACGAGAGGAAGCTTTTAACGCACGGAACACTAAATAAATCCGCTCCATTTTCGAATGTTTGACGTGCTATTTAGTCATTTTACTTAGTGGAGAACTTGTTTACAAATTTGTTCAACCTGCTTCCGTTGTGTGACATTCATTGTCCGCCTTAATTGTGTTAAAATTCCCCCAGGGGAATTGTTTGATGATTGACTGGTCAACACCTTGTCAACGACACAGGAAAAGAGTGAATAAACCTCTTATCGTTACCTGTAGTAGGTGCATTGCGATGAAGGGATACGAATCCTTGACTGCACAGCCGGCTTGGATTTGGCAATCTCTTTGTATGGACTCATATAATGGGAAGCAGGTTTAGTGCGAGGAAAAAAAAAATAGCAACAACGGGCGAACATTGAGAAGTGTGAAGTCAAGTGCCTGAAATATATACAACCGCCAAATTGGCGCACGATCTTTTCCGTACCACGCTCTGTGCTCCAGGCAACATCTTTATTCACTCCGCATAGTTCACATTTTTACGTGGAAGGATTACGCGGTGTTTTGTCGGTCGTATCGGCGTCATTATTCATTTTGCTATTTAATCACCGAGCGTTCGAAATTTAGCCCCACTTAGCTGGCGAGCGTCATGGCGCGAATGCTACTGTGGCTGGTATCGCTACTCACATTTTGCAAGGCCTCGGACGTTATGAAATTTCAAGTTTTCGAAGAACTAGAAGCTGACACTTTTGTAGGAGACATTTCAGAGAGTTCCATAGTCAAAGCAATGGCCACAAATGACAATATTAAGGGAGAGCTTCGATACGAGTTCCAAGGATCACTGCAAACGTCTTTTGGTATCGACGAAAGCACTGGTGTTATACGGACTGCCGCGAAGATAGACCGTGAAAACGTGTCCCTTGGACTTGTTCGCGACACATTTCAAATCTTAGTTCAAGTCTCGAAAGGAGTTATGAAAGCGGCTATACCGACGGAGATCAAGATTCTAGACATAAATGATAACAGTCCCATTTTTAAGGAGGATATTGAGAATATTTCTGTTAAAGAATCTGCGCTAGGTGCAGAGTTGCCAATAACGGTGGCGGAAGATTCGGACATTGGTAACAATTCTGTTCAAAGTTACGAGATTGTTGACAGGAATGACGGTGGGGTGTTTGACTTAAAAGTATCGCGCCCTACTTCGGAAATATTTCAAGTCAAACTTGTCGTGTCGAAAAGGCTGGACCGCGAAATAAACGACAGCTACTATTTGGTGATCGAGGCGAGAGATGGGGGTAGCCCACCAAGGGTTGGACGCAAAGGTTTGAGTATCACAGTTCTAGATTCGAACGATCACTTTCCCAAATTCAGCAAAGATCGCTATGTCGGCGAGGTTAGAGAGAATTCTCGTGTAGGAACGTTTGTGCTGAATGTTACTGCGACAGATAAAGACATTGGTACAAACGGTGAAGTGGTCTACTCTCTCCAAGTTCCGCCTCGATATAAAGATCTTTTCACGCTGGACGCGCGAACGGGCGAACTTCGTACAAACGCT